GCCCGCCCGTGCTTACCTTGCTCCCAGAGACCTGGTCCCTCTCGGCAGGGTAACAAGGGAAAGTGTTCAGTGCAGATCAGTGAGTAAGCACAAGCCCGTCCATGCTTACCTTGCTCCCGGAGACCTGGTCCCTCTCGGCAGGGTAACAAGGGAAAGTGTTCAGTGCAGATCAGTGAGTAAGCACAAGCCCGTCCGTGCTTACCTTGCTCCCGGAGATCCGGTCCCTCTCGAGAGGGTAACAAGGGAAAATGTTCAGTGCAGATCAGTGAGTAAGCACAAGCCCGCCCATGCTTACCTCGCTCCCACGGTGGTGGGGCCAGAGCACAACTAAAAACACTAAAGTCTTTTATGCAGCGCTTAAGCCGTGACTCAGCAGCCCTGAGCTCATCTTGCTCTTTCATGACTTTGTCTAGTATAAGTAGGACCAATCAACCAGCTTCCTTATATTCCTCATACTGACAAAATTGCAGAAAAGTATCAAATACGCAATCACCCAGAACTTCACTTCTCACAAGTACTTGGTGCAATTTTACATATTAATTTTGCCACCTCATGCCACAGATCAGCAGGGCCTTCTTTACTAACAGAGGCAGGGTCACTAGTGTCTTTTCAATTAATAAAACTGGAGAACCAATTTAGAAATTCCATCCTTATGATTTTGTCTGTTTAGAACCACTCTCGGTACCAAATGTGTTAGACTGGGTTCTCTATAGAAACAAAACCTTATAGCTTAACAAAATCTTAAAGCTTATATAGAGAGAGAAAGAGAAATTTATGTTAGGAAAATGGCTCACACACTTAAAGAAGCTGGCAAGTCCCAAGTTCTTGGATCAAACGTCAAGCTGGAGGCTGTTCCCAACTCTCACAGCTGCAGGGGGTGAGAAGCTCAAGGCTGGCAGGCAGTATACTAGCGATGTGTCCAACAAATGACGAATCCAAGATCTCCAGGCCGAATAGTGGATTGTTCATTCATTATAGGCAGCACAACAGAATCTCGATCCATAGAACAGTGCCTCTTTTTCCAGGATGTCCATAAATATACTGGAAGAAGGCCACACCCCTAGGGAAACTCCCTTTCAATGAATTGGCTGCTCAAAACATACTCATCTGATTCCATCATGGGAATAACCACATCACAACTGCCTAAACCACACAGAACTGTGATCTAGCCAAGTTGACACACAGCTCCAACAATCACAGCTATTATCCTATCAGTGATGGGGTGGTATTTTAGGATAAATTTGAAATGTTCTTTTTGACAATGAACCATTTTTCAATTTATCATTCCTGACATGGTATACCATATGACTGGTATTGAACATTTTCAATCAGACAATCATATGGTCTACTAACATATGGTTGTGATATTAAACCAAACCAAACTCACTGCCGTCGAGTTGATTCAACTCATAGCTACCCCTCCTTGGGTTTCCAAGGCAGTACCTCTACGGAAGTAGACTGCCCAATCTTCTTACCGAGGAGTGACTGGTGGGTTTGAACTGCCAGCCTTCTGGTTAGCAGTCAAATGCTTTAGGCACTATGCCCCCAGAGCTCCTGATTGTGATACTAGGGAAGGAAACTTGGGCAATCTACTTCCGTAGTGATGCTGCCTTGGAAACCCAAGGAGGGGTCGCTAAGAGTTGGGTCTGACTTGACGGCACATAACAACAACAACAGGACCAAAAAAACCAAACTCACTGCCATCAAGTCGAATCTGACTCATAGTGACCCCCTTTGGGTTTCCAAGGCAGTAAATTTTTACAGAAGTAGATTGCCCAGTCTTCCTTATTTGTACACACTGAACAAGCATAGGAAGCATATAAATATGATGGAAGGTATACACGGAGTGTCAGTAACAAAAAGAATTGGTCGATATGCAATCATTTCAAGAGGCAACATTTGTTCAAGAACCAATAGTAATGAAGGAAGAAGTCCAAGCTGTACTGAACGAAGGCTTTGGCCAAAAACAAGGATACAGGAATTGAATGAATACAAATTTAGGTGCTTCAACAAATGAATACAACACTGGAAGCACTCACTCATCCGTGCCAAGAAATCTGGAAGACAGCTACCTGGCCAATCACCTGGAAGAGATCCATTTGTGCTCATTTCAAAGAAAATTGACCCGAAAGAATGTGAAAATTATCTAACAATAACATTCGTATCAGCAAAAAGAATTTTCCTGAAGAGAACAGCAAGAAGAATTTTGCTGAACATAATTAAAAACATGTGCTGCCACACATCAACAGGGAACTGCCAGGAATTCAAGCCAGATTCAGAAGAGGATGTGGAATGAGGGCTATCATTGCTGATGTCAGATGTATCCTGCATGAAAGCAGAGAGTGCCAGAGAGATGCATACCTGAATTTTATTGATTATGCAAAGGCCTTTGCTCATGTGGATCATAACAAATTATGGATAACATTGTAAAAAATAGGAATTTAAGAGCACTTAATTTTGATCACATGGAACGTATAGAGAGATCAAGATGCAGTCATTTGTTCAAAAAGAACAACAGGATATTGCATGGTTTAACATCAAAAATGGTGTGTGTCAGTTGTCCCTTCTCCACACATATTCAATCTGCATGCTGAGCAAATAATACAAAAAGCCTGAACTACATGAAGAAGAATATGGCAGAAGGATTAGAAGAAGGCTCATTAACAACATGCAATACACAGATGACACCATCTTGCTTGCTTGCTGGAAGTGAAGATGACTTGAAGCACTTACTGATGAAGATCAAAGGCTACAGCCTTCAGTGTAGATTATACCTCAACATTCAAAAAACAAAAATCTTCACACTAGACAAATAAGCTCAATAATAATAAATAATAGAGAAAATACTGACGTTATCAAGGATTTCATTTTACTTGGATCAACAATCCATGTCAAGAAATCAAATGGCATATCACATTGGCCAAATCTACTGTGAAAGACCTCTTTAAAATCTTAAAAGCAAAGATATCACTTTGAGAACTAAAGTATGCTTAATCCAAGCCATGGTATTTTCAATCACCTCATATGCATGCAAAAGCTGGACAATAATAAAAGAACTGAACTATGGTGCTGGCAAAGAATACTGAATATACCATGGACTGTGTAAAATGGGAGTAATAACATCAGAACCTGTCTGATCTAAGGGGGAATGAGAATCAAGATCACCACAAAGCTGATTCCTAGGAGGAAGAGGTCACACAGACTTCTATGATCCAACTTTTTACCAATTCTGACACTAGCTACCTTCCCACAGCACTCTTCTTCTCTGCTGGATTCAATAATCCATTGTAATAGCCATACAGAATTTAGACCACATTTATAGTTAAGTAGTTTATTAAGGAAATTATAAGGTACAATTCAGGATCAACAGGCTACAACTCAGGATCAAAATCAAGAAGCATGTAAGTAAAGTTTGAAAGACTTCCACAAGTAAACACCACATCCCTCCCCTCTAAAGTACCGGACAGGTCTCTCAACTCCTCTCAACAGTACCTGCATGTTTCTCTCTGCCATGCATGTTTCCTCTCAGCTTTGCAGGCCTCCTCTCAGCACCCTCAGGACAGGCCTCCTTCTGGCCCCAAGGACATCTTAGCCCCTAAGGGCAGGCCTCCTTTTAACCCCTTCAGGACAGACTACTTCTCAACTCACTGAGGACAGGCCTTCAGCCTCCTTGCCATTGGCCTCTCTACTGCTAACTGACCAAGAACATACATAGCATAGCAGTTTTGTTCAGCTTTCTTTTAGCTGCATTCCTAGCAGCAGGTTTCTGCCACCACCAATGACTCTGTTACAGGTCCCATTCTGGGCCTGTTACCACTAGCTCAGCCACAGGGCCTCTTTCAGGCTGTCTTCAGTGGTATAGCCCTTGACCTGTGCCAGTTCCTTTAGAAGGATCCTTGTTTCTTCTTCTCTCTCTGTGCCTTCTCTCTCTCACATTTATCTCCCTTCCTGCTTCTTTCTTCCTTCTTCCTATCTCCCAATCTCTATGGGGTTGACTGCATATAGAAGCAAACTCCTGGTCAATTTCAAGGCATGGCCCTCCCACCATGGCCCAGAACCGACTAATCCCCTCTCAATAGGCCACGGACACTTCATTTGCATAGTAGGCTATTATCACTTCATTTACATAAGTATACAGATAAATCCCTGCAAGATGTGTGAAAAATACCACTCACAGGTCAGGCTATAGCTCAGGTCAGACAAAAAACATCAAACTAGAAGCTGTTTACAGCTTACCCTGGAAATGTTATCAATCTGGAAAAAAATAACAAACCCTCTGGAGTAGAAAACCAGGGCAAAGTAACTCTTCAGGGCTTAGGGGGAAAATCTCTCAAACCATTTCTCCAAAGAACCAAGGTAAAGGAACTCAATTCACCACAAACTGCCAAAAGAATGAACAAATCTGTCTTGGAGAAAGCATAGCCAGAATGCTCCTTAGAAACGAGGATGGCAAGACTTCACCTTGTTTACTCTGGACATGTTATCAGGAAAGACGAATCCTTAGAGAAGGATATCATGCTTGATCAAGCAAGGGTCAGCATAAAAAAGGAAGACATTCAACAAGTGGATTGACACAGTGGATGCAACAATGGACTCAAACATGCTTATTAGTGTGAGGACGGCACAGAACTGGACAACATTTCATTGTTATACATAGGGTTATTATGAGTCAGAGATGACTCAATGGCACTAACAACAACTAACAAAGGTCTGAATTCCCATTTCTCATATAAGAAAAATTAATTCATAGAATTAAAAAAAAATGACTATCACATGTCTATCATGAAATGAAAAAAAAAAATTTCCAAAAGGGTATATAAATCTATACATACTATGCTGTTCATCTCAGAGGACTCATAGCTCCCAACCGGATGCACATTTCCAATGGGCTCCAAGCCCTCTTCATCCCACATGTATGTTCCATCAGAGCTATCAGACGGAGAGAGTTCAAAGGAAGAACCAACTCTGAAATCTGTATCTGGTGAAATCAAGTTATTCCCAGAAGTATGCTTTGTACATTCACTCCTATCTTCAATTGATTTAAAAAAGAGAGAGAAAAAAAGTAGTTATTAATTCACAAAAATATCATTATTTCTCAGGTCCTAAAATTATAAACTCTAATAATTTGATTACAGAAAATAGGTTAGCAAAAAAGTATTCATACAAGCATTTTCTAAATTCTAGTAAGAATTTAAAGAGGAAAAATCTTAAAAATAACCCACTGAAATATTTTCCAATACACAAATAAATTTAATAATCTTTCACTTCTAAAACATTTCTAGAAACATAAATAAAGCCTCATATTCTTTTACTATTTCCCAAGATATTCCTCTACATATAACGTTTGTTAAACAAGAAATCTAACTCCTCCTTTAGAAAATAAAAATTTGCTAAGATAAAAAAAAATTCATTAGAGCAGGCATAGCCTACCTATATGACCTCATTTGGGAGCTCTGGTAGCATAGTGCCTAAGGCACTTGATTGCTAACCAGAAGGCTGGCGGTTCAAACCCACCAGCCACTCCTCAGGACAAAGATGCAACAATCTACTTCCGTAGTGATACTGCCTCGGAAACCCAAGGAGGGGTCACTACGAGTCGGGTCCAACTCGACAGCACATAACAACAAAACAAATATGACCTCATTTACACTTTATTACAGCTTTACTCAAAAAGAGATGGTTTTATGATATATGCCACTGGTGGAGGAAAGTGGAGGAAGAAAAATTCTGAAATACTGCCTACACTGAGTAGGTATACCTACAAGTCAAGAAGAGGTGAGGAAAGACACCTCAGGGGATGAGTGCTGTTACTGATGTTGTTGTTATAAATAGGGTTAAATAGTACAGGGTACAAAAGTCAATGAGCAAGGAAGACAAATATTGCCCTATTTCAATTTTATCTAGATCCATCCCTCCTTCTTAGAGTCATTCAATATAGTCTTTGAAATTGGTAGTACTTTGGAATTTATCAGAAGATAATGCTAAATATTAAGTTCAGTTATAAAAACATTTAGGAGAAAGCAAAGAAACTTAAAGATATTAATATTTACCAGACACACTCATGTCTATCCATCCATCAGTTTTATTGAAAGACTTTTCATTTTCCTTGGGAGAATCAAATATATCATTTGGTGGTACATTTTCATGCTTTTCTTCTTTGACAGAAATTTCCTCTGGAGTTATCTGAGTTCTGTTACAGTCTTCAATATCTATAAAATCATCACTAAAGTCTTCACTTAAATCATTCTTATCAGAAGATGACAAAGAAGACAAGGAAATATCATCCACATCATCACTTAGATATCTAATTTTCAAATCATTTTTCACGGTCTGGTCATTTTCTGTTCTATAACTATCATTTTCAATTACTTTTTGGTCCTTATTAGTAGCTCTTTCATTAGCCAAAACTGTAGCATGTTCCTCTACAAACTTGTCATCAGGTGCATTTTTATTACCATCAACTGTGATACTCCCAGCAAATGGAGGTCTATTAGATTTCAGTAAAGAAGGATGAACCATCCTATAACCCAAAGTGGAAGTTACACCAGGGCCATTCAATAAACTCAACTTCTTTCTACCAGCAGGATAAGGTCTATTAAATCCATACCCTAAATTTTCATTACCATTGAGTCCTTCTGACTGCTGGGAATTTCTTGTTAGTATACTTGACCTTAGAGGCACTCTAATGTGTAGCTGTTGGTTTTGATAAGGCTTAGGAAGATCTACAGCTCGGTTGAAGGAATGTGATCTGGTTATAGATGAAGGTGGAAGGAATGAATTCTGAATGGAATGTGAAAAACTTTGTGACCTTACCATTTTTTCACAAGTAACAGATTTAATATTGTCTGGGGATTGTGCTAAGCTTTCTCCAGAACTGCTTCTGGTGGCACATGAGTTTGCTCTAGGCCTTTGCATGCTAGCAACTGACCTATTTCCATAAAATCCATTCAACTGTGATTTTGGAGCACTGACTGAAGAATATGACGTCCTTCCTAAAAATGTACCTTTGGTGAATCTACCCAAATTAGATGGTCCAGCCAAAGACCTCTGGTTTAACTCCTCTGCAGATGATACAAACATAGTGGATGGCTTTGCTACTTTCGATGTGAGTACAGAAACACCTTTTAAACCTCCTTTTATCCTACTTTTGTCAAATGTTCCTTGAGAAGGAGCATGTTTTTTAGGATCAATTAATTTATCATGAGAATTCTGAATATCATTAGGCTTTCCAGCACTTTGTTCGCTGAGTAGGTATTTATTTTCCTTTCTCCAGTTAAATGAATGGGACAATGGACAATCTGAGCCATTATTTTTTATGTAACTTTTGATAGCACTACTCTTAGAAACTCCTGGTAAGTTAGCAGGTGTCCCATTTGGCATCGGCTGCAGTGTACTTCTTACAGATTTTGTTCCATACTTCGGCAATTTTGAACCCAAAAACGTCTTGAAATGTGTTTTCTCTTCCATGAGCTATTATAAGGTACATTTGTCCTTAATAACTGACAGAATCTGAGGAGGAAAAAAAAAAAAATAGAGTCACCATTTTTAAATAAGGACAATCACAAGGATTATTACATAACATGAATACACATAAAACTTATATAATTAGATATACTAAAGCCCAAAAGCGATATATGATTCCTAAAAGATTCTTATATACTGAATGCATTTATTAAATTCATAACCTTATACTAGAATAAAGAACACTTACATAAACATTTTTTTAAACTTAGAATGATGACATCAAAGTCCAAAAAAAAATAAAATTAGATTATCAAATTTGACTTTATTTAAAAAAATGAATACTGCCACCCAAGGCCCAACACTGGTCTCTATTCACCTGGAGCAACAGAGGAAGATGGAGAGTCAGGAACAGGAGGAGGATATGGAATATGTGGCTAATTGCCTCCAAGACCTACTACCTCCTTTGCCATGAGACTAGAAGTAGATAGTGACTAGCTACCATTACTGAACATTTTGATCAATGACTCTACGGAAGAATCGTGAACAAAATAGGTAAAATGCAGAACAGAATTTAAAAATTCTAAGGGACTCTAGATTTTCTTAAATCAAGGCAAGTGGATGAACCCCTGAAACTATTTCCCTGAGATAATCTTTAAACCTTAAAACAAAATTATCCCCTGTAAGTCTTCTTAAAACAATAAAATCCAATCAACTGTGAGTTTGGAGGACTGACTGAAGAAAATGACGTCCTTCCTAATAATGTACCTTTGGTGAAACTACCCAAATTAGATGGTCTAGCCAAAGACTTCTGGTTTAACTCTTCTGCAGATAATACAAACACAGCAGATGGCTTTGCTAACTTTGATGTAAGTACAGAAACACTTTTTAAACCTCCTTTTATTTTTGTCAAACATGACCTGAGAAGGAGCATGTTTTTTAGGATCAATTAATATATCATGAGAATTCTGAGTATCGTTAGGCTTTCCAGCACTTTGTTTGCTGAGCTGGTATTAAGTTGAGTTGGTATTAATCGAGCTGAATCAGGAAAAATATCTGCCTTGAGTATTATGCTCTTTTAAGAACTGTCTGCATGGGATCAACCTGACAACAGCCCCTCAAAAACTGAACAGGAATCTTAGGAGACTGAGTTTACATTAATCAGGGAGAAACAACTCAGAAAGGTGAGAGTCGTTACACAACTCAAAGAATGTAATCAATATCGCTGAACTGTACATGCAGAAACTGTTGAACTGGTGTATGATTTGCTGTTTAGTATAAGGAACAAAACAACAACAGAATAAATTTAGGAAAAAAAATGAATACTTCCCAGCACATCCTCCATTTCAAATAATCATTTTCACTTTTAGTAATATTCTCTCCTTTAAAATGAAGGAGCTGTGATATCATTTTTTCAAAAAGCACACAAAATCTTATAAAACCTAGAATACATTCAAAAAATCTTCATTATTAAAGTCATAAAAAGGGAGTTCCAGTAAGATGGTAGAATAGGCAGAAATACTGTACAGACCCTCTTCAACGAAGAAAAGGGGAACCAATTAACGCAGATACAGAAGATAATCTTGGACTTCTGAACCTTGAAGGGAAGGATATAAAAGTGGACTAAACTCCAACTAGCAGAATTTCCATGAAAACACCAAAAAAAGAGACATACAGAGCTGCGGTCTGGCAGCAATCCTGATGGCACAGACAGCTTGGATAATGCCAAGTGGTTGTTGTGGTGGTTGTTATGTGCTGTTGAGTCGGACCTGACTCATAGCAACCCCTCCTTGGGTTTCCGAGACAGTATCACTATGGAAATAGACTGCTGAGGAGTGGCTGGTGGGTTTGAACCATCAGCCTTCTGGTTAGCAGTCAAGTGCCTTAGGCACTACGCTAGGACCTAAGAACTAACCTAAAAATCGGCCCTGCTAGCCAGGGACCGCATGGAGGACTCCTCTGGTTGCTGGGGAATAAAAGGGGAAGCAGCGAAGAGGAAGGCGGGCTAAGCTGTGGACTTTTGTCTGTCCAGAGGGTCCAGCCATTTTGAATGTTTACAAGCAGCTTCACCATTTTGGATATTTAAAGCGACAGCGTTCTCCCAGATTCCAGGGATTTAAGAACAGGCTCCACTTGCCAGTAACCCCAAGGACATTCCAGACCCGGACAACTGGAAAGGTGCAACATTCCCCTTGTTACTCTTACACCCCACACCCTCTTAGTGAACGGAGGTGCGGTCATCCCTCACTCCCACCCACTTTCTGAGCCGGCAGTAATCCCATACTAGTCTGCGTGCTCAGATGGAGTCTGTGTGCTCAGATGGAGCCTGGATGCCCTGCTCCACCCTGCCCCTATTTTTTTTTTTTTTCTGTTTTTTAGTGTTTTTGTCTGCTTTAAAACTACTATTATTATTATTACTTTTGTCCTTTTTTATTATTATCCTTTATTCTTCCCCTCCCAGGTTCTAGTATTCAGCTTTTTTTCTTTTCCCTGTTCCTGGCTGCAATTTTTTTTTCTTTCTCATGGTTAACCCCATTCCCTGTTTTTCTTTTTGTGTTTTTCCCATTTTTTTCTTCATTATTCTCCTTCTCTACCTTTTTTCTCTTATTACCCTCTCCCTGGACATTGCAGGTTTGCTTTCTTTTCCTTCTTCTTCCCTTTTTTTTAATTTTAGTTACTGTTCATGTGTGATTACACGGTGTATTTTTTGTCCATGCACTTTTACTTTTTTGATGGTTATTCAGTTGTTATTTTGGTCTAACGGCGTGGAAGACAGCAACAGTCCCCATACAACACAACTACACCCACACCTCCTGCAGTTTCACTTACTGAGTGAAAGCCACCACTTTCTTCTCTACCAAAGGGCCATGAGGAAGAGAAAGACAGAGAGAGTTACATAGGAGGTGCAAACAACAAAGATGAACCCTTCTGCACATACAGTACTGCACTGTCAGCGAAGGCAAACATGGGTATACAGGTGGATAGATGGGTGGACAGGATGAACTATTAGGTGTATCTATGAAGCAGGGAATGTACCAAAGATGATGTATAGGGTTGGCAGACAATGGTCCTATAAGTGTATTTGTATGATCTGTAAGAATTCCTAGGTATATAGTAGAGTTGACAAGGAACAAGGCTGTAGTCACTCTTGGTCACAGCCAGCTACCCAGAGTGACTAAGCATTGTTCCTGAACTTGAATTGTAGCCTGGTGCTTCCCTATTAAACCCCATACTCTGTGAGCTGTGTGTGGCCACTGCAGCAAATCATCAAACCCAGCAGAGAGGTGGTGGGTGCTGCGGGATGAACAGTTTGTGTTAGGGTTGTTGAAAGGGCTGGAGGGAGGTAGCATGTCTGGCCTCACAGTAATGGGCCTTGGGCTACTGATAGTGATTCTGTCTTCCTCTTGTGTGACCAGAGGAGGTCAGAAGATGTGGCCTCCCTGCCCCTTTGGCAGTGAGTGTCAGAAACGGTGGGATTCCTGGCAGTGGCTCCAGACTCATAGAAGCATGAGACTTTGTAAAAGAAAGAAAAAAGGGTCCTGGAAAGTTAAACTTTGAATTCTTAGATGGTTACTTTGTTTGATGTTACCTCTTAAAGGAGATAATTGATCCAGAGGCTAGGGCTTTTGGTTACACCCAGCCAAAGGCCCAAGACCATATGGATAGAATAGGATGGTAATCGAGGTGAAGAAAGGAACCTGGAATGTCTTAAAAAGGATTATGTGTTTTGGATTATGTGTTTACCTGAATGTACTACGAGGTATTGAATGTCTCTTACCTGCTAGTACATTAGATATGATTATGGGGTGTGGATAATAGAGAGTGTGTAAGTCCACCTTCAGCTGATACTTGATTGGATATGTTTGAAAGGGGAAATAGAATTTGCCCAGAAAAAACACAGGCTTTTGTTTTAAGCCCTGTGTGTAGAGAGTACTAAGAGCTTAGGAAGAAAACCTGAGCCCCACCCACTACTACTGAGGGAACAGAAGATTTGCATTTGAACAAGGACCTGAAGAGGAAAAAAATAATGACTATTTGGCTTTTTTAATTTTGAGCAAGCATTTAGGCTTTGGATGCATCAAGGCAGGAAAATCATGGTCCATGGAGAAACCCCTTCCAGGACTGAAACTTAAAGGAAGCCAGTGGGTAGTAAATGTTTATGTTACTCATTTGTGACCACCTGGGTCCACCTCAGTGGAAATGGACGAAGTGCAGCAAAGAATAAACGGGCTGAGTTTGGTACTCTTTGACCTAGGCCATGGAGGTTGGGGATGAGAGGAAGGGCTGGCTGGTCTGAAGTGCAAGGAGTTGTGAGCCTACAGAAATTGAAATAGTGCCTGAGGACTGAAGATGTGAGAGAAAGTGCTGGCTGGTCTGAAGGGAAGGGAATAGTGTGACTCCCAAACTTGGTAGCTGGTACCCATGACCTAGCTGGGATGGGTAGGGCTGAGGTAACCAGAACCCGACCAAATGAAGAGGAAGATGTTTGACACTGAGCTGGGGTTAAATTGCTGCAATTTGATGGCTTGAGCTGAGCTGGACTTTGCTTGTTCATGGATCAAGATGCCTGAAGTTTCCAAGCAGAACACAAGATTCTCCAGAGAGAAAGGACCATGCTTATCTCCTCACAGAGTACTGATTTGACAGTTGTTGTTATTATGTGCAGTCAGTCGGCACAACTCAGAGAGACCTCTCCTTGGGTTTCCAAGGCAGTATCACTATGGAAGTAGATTGCCCAACCTTCCTTCCAAGGAGTGGCTAGTGGGTTTGAACAGCCAGCCTTCCGGTTAGCAGTAAAGTGCCTTAGGCGCTAAGCTACCAGAGCTCCTTACTGGTTTGATAGGGATGGGCAAATTAGAAATTGGCTATTTAAAATGGGGGAAGATAAAGGCATGAAGTAGCTGGCTTATATACTTTCATGGGTGTGGTTATTCTTAAGCTGATGGTGAAGGGGATGTTAATTTCTGAAGTATAAAAGGAATGGGATAATGGCTAGAAAAGCTAGTAGGTGGCCTGCAGTGTAGTAAATTACCTGGTATGGCTTTTCT